AATCATACTGTATACCTGAAACTAATACAAATTGTATGTCAATTCTGCCTCAATTAAAAAAACGAAACAAAACATCGACATCTTTTACATTTGTGCTAGTTGTGACTATATGCCTAATTAAAATGGTGAAAATATTATCCCAAACCCTTTTGTGACTTGCTGAAAAGGAAATGGGTCACCTCCCAGTGAATTCACAGTTATCTGCTTCAATGAGCTTCATATTCTGGAATAACTCCAGAATTTGGGGGGGGAAATTATTTGCTACATCTGGCCCTCCCAAAAAGAAAACCTTAAAATTATTTTTGAGTTAAGAAAGATGCATCATGAAGTTACGTTAAGTAACTAGAGTATACTTAGAAAAGAAAAACTTCCATGGAATCTCCTGTGCTAGAGATCAAATAGGGTCTAAATAAGTATTTAAATCACAATGTAAATGCATTTGATTAAAAAGTTCAATGAAGGTTTTTGAAGTAAGATATAGATTGGGACCCTACTCATTTGGTTTCAATCAGTTTTTCAATGTAATAAATATGCAATTGGCCAAGGAACAGAGGTCAAAACCTCAAATCCCACAGAGCTGGGCAGGTAATGTAAACCAGAGGTTGGAGAGACGAGAGTATGCTCACTTGTAAGACGAGGATAATAAAAATATACATCTCATAGTACTGTTGTGAGGATTAAATTAGAAAATGCCTGTGAAAAAGCATTCAGAGACATGTTTATAGCGATTAAGATTCTGCACAAATAGCAGCCATGGTTATTGTGTAGTCTTCGCCAACTGCTTTTTTGAATGACACTACATCTTAATAAGTTACCCTTTCTTGAAACACCCACAATCTTTCTTCTTGCCCATCTGTGATGAAGTTAAGAATCTGACAAACAAGATAGCATAGCAGCATCTAAAAGAGGGAAGTAAAACAAAACTGGGATGTTTTTGCTTCATCATTTTCCTCAAGAAACTTTTGTGAGAGCTTACTGTGGGCAAGGCATGGTTGACTGGAAGAAATAAACATAGTTCTTACCAGTTATCAGATGAAGAGAGAAACACCTTCCCACTTCAGAAACCAGTGTATAGACCAGTGATGGCGAAACTTTTGAGCTCGGCGTGTCAGCATTTTGAAAAAACCCTAACTTAACTCTGGTGCCGTGTCACATATAGAAATTGTTTGATATTTGCAACCATAGTAAAACAAAGACTTATATTTTTGATATTTATTTTATATATTTAAATGCCATTTAACAAAGAAAAATCAACCAAAAAAATGAGTTCGCGTGTCATAGGTTCGCCATCACTGGTATAGACTGTCTGAAAAGGTCCATGACAGCACTACCCAGTGGAGTCTAAATTGTTTAGTAGCACATTTAAAAAAAGTAAAAAGGAACAGATGGAATTGGTATTAATATTAGCTTTAGTAATATACTAGTACTTAGTCAATGTATCTGAAATATTATTTCAATATGCAATCAATATGAAAAATTATTAAGAGATTTACACTCATTTTTTTCATACTAAGTCTTCAAAATCTGGTGTATATTCTACACTTGCATCACACCTCAATTTGGGTCAGTCATATTTCAAGGGCTCTAAGGTCACATGTATCTAGTGGCCACCATAGATCAGTAAGATCTTTGGAGAGAATTGCTAAAGAAAAGTGTTAACATATTTGAACATTTGTCCTATATTACAAGGGCTCTGAGGTTTCATAGCTGACAAAGGACTGGAAGGCCCTTTTGACATCAGCACCATCCAGATTTCCCTCCAGAAATGGAGCACAGTCCTCCTGCTGCCAGGACTGTTCAAGGCTCATGGCTCACAGCCGAGCCTTTCTGTGGGACTTGCCACTGGCCAAAGGAAGTCCCCTGGCTCAGGGTAGGCCCCACATCCAATAACCCATGTGCCCTCCAGCTCTTGCCTCAATTAGGACCATTCTGCAAGGCCACCCCACTCCAGACTTCTTTGGAGGAACAGCTGAGGTCTCTACTGCAGCTGTATCCCAGCCCAGTTTCTCCCTCTGCCTGATCGATCCTGCTGCCCTTGCTTTCTTGAGAGTACACTCTGATTAACCTCCTTCAGGCAGATCCCTTTCTCAGAATCTGTTTCCCAGGGAACCTACCTTAGACTTTTGTCCCCAGTGTTACGTTGTCCTCAAGGGAAAGGACTGTATCAACAGACTGAGACTTCTGCCTGTCATACTTGCGTAAGGACACCTAAGTCTGTGGGCCTTTTGCCAGAGGATGGGCTACATATCTGCAGCAAAGGAGGAAAACACGTAATCACTGCAAATTCCCTCTTAAAAGTCCTCCCAGTTTTAGGGATCATAGTTGCTTCTCCAATTTCTATATAAGAATAGCAAAAAATTTGTCACTCAATATACAAATGAGATGATTGTCACTATGGGCCCATCATTTTGGCCCTGCTTCCCTCAGTCCAGCCTGCACCCTCTCGCAATCCAGGAACCCTTGGACATCCCTCTCGCAATCTGGGACCGCTGGCTCCTAACTGCTCTCCTGCCTGCTTGCCTGATTGCCCCTAACCACTCTGCCTGCCTGCCTGACCGCCCCTAATGGCCTCTGCCTTGGCCCCCACTGCCATGGCTTCATCCGGAAAAATGTCCGGAAGGTCGTTCGGCTGTCCGGTCTAATTAGCATATTACGCTTTTATTATTATAGAATATGTAAGAGCTTGCTTCAACTCTGCCCTCGCCACCATGTGAGGCTATGAGAAACAGCTCTCTGCAACCCAGTAGAGGGCTCTCACCAGAACCCAACCATACTCGCACTCTAATCACAGACTTCCAGGCTCCAGAACTGTCAGGAATAAATTTCTGTTGTTTATAAGCCCGGTATGTGATATCCTGTTATAGCAGTCTGAACTAAGGGTAATGAGAAAGTCTTACTTTATCCTGTAAGTGGTGGGAAATCATTTTAGCTTCTTGAGGAAAAGCCCGACACAAAGAAACATAAAGGCTTATACAAGAAAATAACAAAAATAATACAAAATAATGATAGTAGCGATAATCATTTACTGAATGGTAGTGGCAGTGCCCTAGTACATAGGACACTTAGCTCACAGGATCCTCACAACAGCCAAAGAAATTTGTAATATTATCCCCATTCCACGGTGAAACTGCTCAGAGGCTAAATAACTTGCCCAGAGTCCCATAGCTAGTCAGCAATGGAGCAGAGATTAAAGACGGTTTGGTCATACCCTAAGCCTGTGCTCCTTTCACTATATATGAGGCTTTTAATTCGGGTTCAAATGAGCTGAACCCAAAGGTAGAAAAAATAAGTACAAAAACATTGTTCAGATTTACAAAGGAACTGAAGGGTCTGCACTGGAGCACTGTGTCATGGAAACAGTGTGAGGCGAAGAGACAATTTGAAGAAAAGACAAAGGTTGGACTGAAGAATCCGAGGTGATGATCGAGGTGGACAAGATGGTTGCCTCCCAACAGCCTTCCCCGTTTCCAGCCAAGCATCCACTCCTTCCCTGCAGCCCGTGGGTCCGAGGCGTGCTGGTTCCATCCTTTGGCCAGTTACTGGCTTAGGGATGGGCAGGTAACCCAATTAGGGCCCAGGAAACCAGACAGAGGCTTTTCTAAGAGGGCTTCTTCAAGGAACCCTCTCTGTTGCCCAAATGCAAATGGGGAAGCATATAGTCCTTGAAGTTGTTGCAGCAGTCTCAGAATTAAGAGGGCAGCCAGCCTTGGTATGATGCCAACACGGCAACGGGCAGAGAGAGGAGGAACGGAGCCCTGGATGATTCTATTAACCTGCTGGATTAAACCGACTCTGAAGCCCACCACACCTCTGATTTTTCAGTTCTGTGAGCTAATGAGTCCTCTGTTGTTCGAGGCACTCTGCAGTGGGTTTCCAGTCACCCAAACATTCCGAATTGTTACAGTAGGGAAGGCTTTGAAGGGGTCTGTCAAAGGCTCCTCCTCCAAGTCACTGCAATACACCTTCATGGAGAACAGAGAAACGTAAAAAACCTAGGTCCAGGAAAACGCTGATGCCACACGTGTGAGCTCTCACTGGAAAGAACCAAGTGAACAGGATGGAGAGTAAGCAGAGAGCCAATCTCCCGCCAACCTGTCACCCCAGGGCTGTATGTCCACAAGTATACACACAATTTCCCAGGTCTCTGATGCTCACGTACCAAAAATGCAGACCAGAGCTAAAGCTCTTATGAAAGCAGAACCCCGGTGGTTTTGTATGTGAAGAGGATTCTTCTCTTCTCATGCTAAGTCCTCAAAGGTATCTGATTCTCCCCTACATAGATATCTAACATACATTTACAAAATCAAGTACAGTAAGTGTTCACTTAACATTGTCAAAAGGTTCTTGGAAGCTGCTACTTCAAGCAAAACAAGGCATAACAAAACCAATAGTATCCTAAGCGAATTGATACACAAGAGTTAAGTTCCTACGGCATATTTCTGGTCATAAGAACATCACCAAACTTCTAACTAAAGACCAAAACTCTTCTAATATTAAACACTGAAATAAATGTGAGCTATACGCACATTTAAGAAAGATGAAGAAACACAAGATAATTATTTTCCAACCTGCTATTCCAGTCCTGGGTGGCGAGTGGCAGGAGCCTATCCTGGCAGCTCTGGGTGCAAGGCTGGAACCCACCCTGGACAGGATTCCCTTCTAATGCGTGCACTCTCTCTCTCTCACACACACACACACACACACACACACACACACACACACACTCTCTCTCACACTCACTTACTCACTCAGACAATTTAGACTTGCTGATGAACCTCACGTGCACATCTCTGGGATGTGGGAGAAAACCAGAGTATCCGGAGAAAACCCACACAGACATGGGGAGAATGTGCAAACTCTACACAGGAATTGATTCCCCCCCTCATCAACGTCATAACGAAAGGACATTAGAAAGAAATAATGTTATTTGAGGACTTGCTGTATCATGCAAACTAAGGTATCTTAAAATTCAAGCAATGAGCCAAAGTAACAAATACTGCTTTGTCAAAAAGGAACCCTTTATTAATCTATATATGTATAAAAAGCAAGCAAAATCAGAATGTTTTCCTCAGCCATCCTTTCCACATTTTATGTAGTTTTTGTGAACTATAAATCAACGATTTCTTCATGCCTAAAAGAGAAAAGAAGAGACAGTGAGAAAACTGAGGCTTACTGAGTGGATACTCATCTATAGGTTTTATGATATTCAGACCAGAGACTTGTCTTTAGAGTAGAGCAGCGCTGGGCTGACTGTGTCTAGGACAATGGTTCTCAACCTTCCTAATGCTGTGACCCTTTAATACAGTTCCTCATGTTGTGGTGACCCCCAACCATAAAATTATTTTCGTTGCTACTTCATAACTGTAATTTTGCTACTGTTATGAATCGTAATGTAAATATCTGATATGCAGGATGTATTTTCACTGTTACAAATTGAACATAATTAAAGCATAGTGATTAATCACAAAAACAATATGTAATTATATATGTGTTTTCCAATGGTCTTAGGCGACCCCTGTGAAAGGGTTGTTCGACCTCCAAAGGGGTCACGACCCACAGGTTGAGAACCCCTGGTCTAGGAGACCCTGGAAGCCAAGGGTTATTAATGTGATCAATGTGAGGGGAAAAGATTGTGATTTAGGATTAAAATGGTGGTATGATGTCAAAGGTACCTGAGTTTCTGGGGTAAGTGAAATCTTATGAGATACAAGCATACTGACAGCCTTTGAATTTAGTAGTTCTTAAAAAGAAAGAAAAAGGAAGAACAAAAACAAGATCTGTACGTAAATGGGCATCCCTGGCCCCTTTCTAAATCCCAATGCCTGCATCCAACCAACTCCACCTCGCTGCTTCTGTCACTGCGTGTGCCACTGATCTGCCCAGAGCGAATGTTGTTTCCATCACTTTCTGCTGCATAGAACTCAAATCCCTTTTCAGATTTTTTCTCTAGAAGTGCCTTCCTTGACTCTTCAGGCAAGTTCAGACATTGCTCCTCCTAGACCAGGGGTGGGGAACCTTTATTCTACCAAGGGCCATTTGGATATTTATAACATTATTCACAAGCCATACACAATTATCAACTTAAAAACTAGCTTGCTACATTTGGCCAAACCTTTAATTAACTCATCCCTAATGGCTTGATAGGGCAAGACCAAATGATTTTGTAGGCCTTTATACAGTCCATGGGCCAGATATTCCCCATTCCATTTCTAGACCCACACCACTTGCTGGTGTACAGCACAGCACTCACCCCACTGTACATTGCTTAGGGACAGGTTTATCAACCTCTCCCTCGGCCTAGACTGGGAGTTCCTTGAGGACAAAGACCTTGTCCTATTCATCCTTGTCTCCCCTTCACCTAGTATAGAATCCAGCACATAGTAGGTACTTGGTAAATGCTTTTGAAATGACAGAACAGATGCACCTCATTCAGATATCTGATTTCCCAACACCCTCTATCTACTTAATCACAAGTACCAGATGAAACCCGAGAAGCTCTCTGGGGAGCTTATGGGAAAGAAGTAAAATGGGATAGAATAAGTGGGGTGTTATTTGTCTGTCAGATCTAATAGGATCCTATTTGCAGACAGCATTATGGGCTCAGCTTCCTTTGTGTTGAAAATGAGATCATTTAGTCCGTATTTCAGGGTGTGGCTCAAAGATCCAACTAGTCTTTCTCACCATGGGATACAAACTGTGGTCTGTGCGGCGAGTATGAAATGCCCACCCCTGGCAGTGCACTTTGTAAGCACTGCCGATGAGGTAACAGGATTAGTTCCAGAGACTCCGAACACTTGGGTACGTGTGATCTCTTGAAAATACCTGGCCATGTTACTGGTAAGCTGCTTAGTCCACAAGGACCTTCTAAGAGGCTAATGTAGATAGTGGAAGGATACAAGGCAAGGTCCCTGAAAAATACCTCTAGAAACTCTGGCCTGGCTTGTCCACTGACTGACTACTTGCAAACTGACACAGCCTCGTCAAGAAACTCAGAGCTCCTTCCCTGGCCTCCACCCCTGTTAATTTCTCCCTGGAGCAACCACTCTGGTAAACCTCACCCACTTGAGCATTGAGACTGGAAAGCTATTACGTAAGGTGCTTTTTAAAATTCCAGCCAGAACCAATCAAGACACTAAGCAGAACACAGGTAGTTGCATATGGTAAGGTTCAACACAGCAACCCCAGGGCACTGAGTCAGAGCTAGAGGAAGATGCATCGACTATGATAAGTCCCAGTCCAACTTCAAAAACTTACTCACACACTCCTTGGAGCTTAACATTTACGGTAAATACATAAAGTACATCAGAGACACCATGAAGCTTTTTTTTTTTTTTGGCTGCTAGTCCATTAAAGACTCCCTTCATTAAAAACAGTCTTTGCCTTCAATGGCTCTGAGAAAGACTGCAGCAGGGAACTGTGTTACAAAGAGACTGGAATAGCAGTCAAGAGACCTGAATTCTAGTCCTAATTGGGCCACAAACTTACAGTGTAACTCCCCCTCTCTGGCCTTGACTTCCTCATCTGCACTAACGATTGGCTTAGACTAGGTTAGAGGTGTCTAACAAGAGGCCCCTGGACAGACTTCATCTCCCTGTGAACTCTTTGAAACTGTCACCGTTTGCTGTGTAGATACATGTGTACTTCTGTGCAGAGGGTCCAAAGTTTTAGCCAGATTTTTATAGCAAGTCAGGATTTGCAAAAGGGTAAGAACCAACAGATCAGAATAAAGGGTCCTTTCTGCCTCAATATTCTAATTGCAACAAAAGTGGAGGATTAAATTTCATGAACGTAGAATAGGCCAAATTTCCTAAACAGGACACAAAAAGTTGCTAACCATAAAGGACAAAATGAATAAATTTGATTAAGTAAAATTAAAGGCCCTGTCCAGGTAGCTCAGTTGGTTAGAGCATCATCCCAATATACTAAGGTTGCAGGTTTGATCCCTGGTCAGAGGACATACAGGAAGTAACCAGTGAATGCATAAATACGTGGAACAACAAATCGATGTTTCTCTCTAAAATAAAGTAAGAAGAAACAAAAATAATAACAAAAAAATGAAAAGAAAAAGACACATAATATTAAGTTTTTGCCCAGGAAGTGCTACAATAGGAACTCTACTAGTGGGAGTGTAATTTGAACAATTGTTTGGTCGATACCACAATTAAACATTCACACACTTTATGATCTAGTAATTCTACCCCTAAGTTTGCACCTAACAGAAATGCATAAATATGTTCATCAAAAGATAGTCACAAAACCAGCAGCACTACTCGTAATAGCCCCAAAGTGGACACAACTCAAGAAGCCATCAACAGTAGAGTGAAGAAATTGTGTATATTCACACAATGATCTGGATACAATGAGAATAAATGAACTACTGCTAGTCCCCACACCATGATGAATCTCACTGATGTTATGAGGACTGGAAGACACAAGAGAGTACATATTCATATATAAAGTTTGAAAATGGGCTAAACAGAAGCATGGCAATAGAAGTCAAGATAGTAGTTAAAGTTACTCTTGGAGAAGTAGTGGCTGTGACTGGCAAAGGGGGTTCCTAGGGCACTACGGTCATGAGTGTGTTCACTTTGTGAAAATTAATTTCTGATTTGTGCCCTTTTCTGAATATATTGAGATTTTCCATACTACCAGAAGATCTAGAATCTGTCATTTATTCAGTCACTATAACATACTGAATGAGTATTTACTCTGCACCTATATAAGGCACTGAGTTGTTGGGGATACTGGTATGAATAGCAGTTATGGTCTCTGTCCTCACAGAGTTTACAATCTATAGAATTCTACTTGGCCTCCATTAGCTTACTTTTAGTTTCTGCTTCCTTTCTTTAAAAAAGGATGGTGATTTAGGAATTCTGCATTTAGAAAGTGTCTTTAGGGAAGACAGCCTTGTAGGAGAGAAATTTTACTCTAAGATCCATCACTATTGTCTTTGCTCCTTCTTCAATGTATAAAGAAAGATGCAACATTTCTTTAAATATACCTTCTTCAGACAGATTCTTATTTACCCAAAGCTAGCCATTATGAATTCTGATTAGTATCTAAAGTCAGGATTTTATTTTGGAAGGATACAGAAATCTATTTCAATATATGACTACTAAGGTTTTTCTTCTATTGATTTCCAGCTTGTGTTACATGACCTATAGCAAAGTTACTATAAATGTAAGACTACAAACTGCCTATGTGACCTTGAACTGATGGGTCCAATGACAGACAAAATTCTCTAGGAAACAATGTGAGGCAGAGATATGAGTAGGTTGTCAGGGGTCTCTACCTTCCCATTACTCTATACTTCAGATCTTTAGGAGAGAATATAGAGTAATGGGAAGGTAGAGACCCCTGACAACCTAATCAGTAATCAGTAAGCCCTCAACATTCTTCCAATTAATTTCCAACATAGTTAGATCTATCCACAAAGAATATCACTCCTGAAGCAGAAAGTACAACTTATTTTTAAACTTTCAAGTTTAAATTACCAGAAAAAAGCACATTACCAGAAAAAATTTTTAACTATTATTTTGTGTTTTTCTTATTTAAATATGTAGGTACCAAAGGGAAAAAAAAAAAAAGAAGCAATGTTTTAGTTATAAGAAATCAGAAGCAGAGAATAATGAATGATCCATTCTATTGTGTTCCAGGAAAAGGCTGGTTAGAATCAATTGAGGCATGCCAGGATCTTTTTAGGAACAAGACTAAACCTGTCTTGTTAATTCAGCTGAATCTTTTGAAGCTAGAGAAGTAAGTAGGTACCTGTCCCCAGAATGCATTCTGATTGACCAGAAAGTCAGGTGGAAAAAATAAAGCAAGGTTTCAAAAATTGAACTTCATTATCCCCGCCCAATCTTCCTCACCTCCTAAAATGGCTCCACAGCCCTAGTTGGTTTGGCTCAGTGGACAGAGCGTCGGTCTGTGGACTGAAGAGTCCTGGGTTCGATTCCGGTCAAGGGCACATGCGAAGGTTGCAGGCTTGAACCCCAGTGGGGGGCATGCAGGAGGCAGCCTATCAATAATACTCCCATGATCGATGTTTCTATCTGTCTCTCTCTCTCTCCCTCTCTCTGAAATCAATTATAAATAAATAAATAAATAGATAAATAAATAAAATGACACCACCATCTTACTGCTTCCCACACCCAAAACCTGGGAGTTACCTGTGACTCCTCTCTCTCCTTCCCATATCCCTCTAATCACCAAGACCTGGCGACCTGCCTTCTAAGTATTGCTGGCATCTCGTCTCTCTGCCTCTACTGCAATGACGTGAGTTCAGGCTGCCACGATTCCTCACCTGGCTGGCTGCAACCATATCTAACCAGTTTCCCAAGCAATAGCTTTATCTCCCTTCAATCTGTTCTCAGTTCTCTAATGGCCTTTCTACAGTCCCTCTGCCCTCAAAAGAAACTCTGAATTCCCTTTCATGGCTTTTAAGGGCTTCCCTTGTCTGGCTCCTGCTTACTTCTCAGTCTAATCACTAAAGCCCACACCCCCTCCCCATTTCTCTTCCAGTTCCCACACCAGAACACTCAGACAGTTCCACTTCTCTCCAAACAGATTAGAAACATAAAAGACTGTTACTTCTCAGAATATGACAGTTTGCTTAGCTGGTCTTCTGTTACTAGTACCAGATGTGATGTCATCTGCTGCTACTATGAAAGGAGTAGGCAAGAATGAGGAGGCTGAACAGGCTTTTGCTACTCCTGTGCTGGCTGGCTCCAGCTGCTGATCTGCCAGGGTTGCAGGCTTAATCCCAGGTAGGGGGCATGCAGGAGGCAGCCGAATGATATTTCTCTCTCACATAGATGTTTCTCTCTCTCTCAATCAATTAAAAATATTTTTTAAAAGTATGATAAAAAAAAAGATATCTGCTTTTGAACCTTCCTTTTTTATCCCCATATGCGCAGGATGATGCAAAGAAGCAGAGTGATAATGGCAACAAAGGAATAAAATCTCAACCAAATACATTGGGGTTTTTCTCATCCTGCAGATCATACATCAGCTGTCTGAAAACTGAATAGAGATAGAATTTTAGAGACTTAGGGGAAACAGCCCTAGCAAAAGCAAGGCAGAACAACAGCTATGACTGCAACAAGAGGACTTCTAAAGAACCAAGTGCAGGAGGGAGTTTCTGAGCTTGCTGTGAAGTTAGAGGGAAAAGAAACAGGCAGATGAGCCACTCAGTTCCTTTACTTCAGCTGGAGGCCTGGTCAAGGGACTAATGCCATTTGAATATGACAGTGAAAAGAGCCATGTTCTAAAGAGAGGTCAGGAAACGTTTAGGTAATGATACCAAAAGAAAAAACAAACAAAACTAGGCACAGTACTAGATGTTTTTCTTTTTTTAATATACTTTTATTGATTTCAGAGAGGAAGGAAGAGGGAGAGAGAGATAGAAACATCAATGATGAGAATCATTGATTGGCTGCCTCCTGCACGCCCCCCACTGGGGATCGAGCCTGCCACCCAGGCATGTGCTCTTGATCAGAATCGAACCTGGGACCCTTCAGTCCGCAGGCCGACGCTCCAAACCGGCTAGGGCAGTACTAGATGTTTTTACATATTTAAGATACAATTTTTATAACCTGGTAAGGCAGGTAAAATTATCCTCATGAAATTAAAACTCAGAAAAATTAGGTAACTTGCCTCAGTCACAGTAGTTAGGCTGGAATTTGAACCCTAGTCTCTGGGGCTCACGAACCCCTGCTCGTGGCCTGGACCGCCTTCCTCAGCCCACAACCATCATAAACCAGACAAGCCAGATCATAAAGGAAGTAAACCTACAGACTCTGAATGGATGCTCATCACTTTCCACAATTTCTGCAACCTCAGTGCAGGTTACAGACATTCTGATACTCTGGACTTCGTCAATCCTATGAGGTATCTTTAGAAGGAAAGGGGAAACAAGCATTAAGCACAGGGGAACCTGCAATGGGGGCTCACTCCACGACCACAAGGAAATCTGGGCTGTGTTTTGAGGTGTTACCCACTGCCCTCTGCTGGTCACTGGAAAGAACGAGTGGGAAGAGGACCAAAGAGTCATTTCAGCCTGAAATACCATGATTCATTTTCTTAGAGAAAAATTCAAACTTACAAAAGAATAGTACACTATGTCTCCATGTATCTTCATCCAGCTTCAAAAATGTATCAAGTCATGACCAATCCTGTGTCATCTACTGTTTACCCACTTCCCTCCACTGTTTTATTTTGAAGCAAATCTCAGACATCCTGTCTTTTCATCTAAATATTTTAGTATGTATTTCTACAAGAAAAGGAATGTTTTAAAACCCCATCATATACAACAGGTAATAAATAATAAAGTAATTCCTTATAGCTTAGGAAGCCTCCCTAAAAAAGGAAAAATAAACAAAAACCCCTCAAAACATTCAGCCTCACCCAATAAGGATTATAGAAAGGGAGCAGCAATCATGCAAAACACAGAACCACCCAAACAAACAAAAGCACCTCATATTCAGCCCTGTCAGGATAAACACAGCAGAAACACAGATGAAATAAAAGTAACTGAATTGAAAATGCGTTATGTACCCCTGAGTGGTAGAAACATCGTCTGCTGAGTAGATCTGGTGCACGTACTCTTTCCTGACTCTTTCCAAAGATTCAGGAGGACCACACAGTGTCCTTGGGGCCAAGCACTCAGCTGTGTAACCAGGAGGCTGGGGTGAGATGCTAAGATGTGAGACCACACCAGCTCCCTGGCAATCTCAACCCAGGGATCAGAATCAGGCTGAAAGACCACTCCCGTCTTTGTGTTACCTCTGAGCCATTTATGCCCTGGTACTACTGCAAATTTTTATTTACATGCCTGTCTCTCTTTCTAGACTATGAACTTCTTGAAGGTACGATAGTGTTTTGTGTTCACTTTTTTTTTTTTTAATCCTCACCGGAGGATATTTTTCCCATTGATTTTCAGAGAGAGTGGAAAGGAGGGCGGGGGGTGGGGGGTGAGGGGGGGAGAGAAACATTGTAAAGAGAAACATCGACTGGTTGCCTCCCACACACATACCAAATGGGGCCCGGGATCGAACCTGAGACCGGTCAGGTCGAGGCCCTAAACACTGAGCACACAGATCAGGGCCCATGTTCACTTTGCATGTGTGGCTAACACATAAGAGACATTCAGTGGATGGTTATATAAGAAAGAATGAACTAGAAAAATCCATCTTTTGACATTACCAAGCACTGGAAAAAATGGGGAAAAACAAGAACTCTCATATTTTACTAGTGGGATTGATATAACTACTTGGGAGGGCAATTTGGTTATATCCAAAGAGGTTCAAATGCTTAAGCCCATAAATCAAGAACAGGATGTTTTAAAATTTAAAAAAAAAAAAGGAAGATTCAGATGGGGAGAAAAAGAAAAGAAAAAGAGCTCCTAGAAATTAGAAATGTAATAGCAGGAATAAAAAAACTCAATAGAAGGTTTGGAAGCTGAAGCTGAGAAAATCTCCTAGAAAACAAGACAAAAGGACAAAGAGACCAAACATAGGAGAAAAAAGAAAGAAAACCAAAGAACTAAACTAGGAGGTCCAATATTTGAATAAAAGGAGTTCCAGAAAGAGAAGAGAGAAAACAGATGGGAAGAAAGTAAAAAAGAATAAATGAAAAATTTCTTATATTGAGTGAACAAACTGAAAAATGAGTATCGTAACAGATAAAGACAGACTCACGTCAAAGCACATCAGAGCCCTGCAGGAAAATGAAGACCTAACAGGCCCCCAAAAGAACATACACAAAGGATTGATAACCCGAATGGCTTTGGACTTCGACAGCAATCTTAGAAGTGAGAAGATAGTTGGAGCAATGGTATCAAAATTCTAAAGAAAAATTATTTCCAATCTATCCCCAGGCTAAGTCTCAATTTATGTGGGAGAGTAGACCAGAGATACATTTAGACATACGTGGTCTCCAAATGTGCCTCCCATGCACCCTTTCTCGGAAAATTCCTGCATGGTGTGCTTCACCAAAAGGAGAGTGCGCACCATGAAGATAAAGGACTGAGATACAGGAAAGACGGTGTTCCTCACACGAAACAGATAAAGACAATCTCTGTGGGCAAAGGAAGTTGTGCAGGGAAGGGAAAGTGTTTTATGTGGCTCACCTAGGAGTCTCACTAACACAGTCAGGCAGTGTAAACTCTGAACACTGACTTTACCACAGCTGCAATATATCTGTATTAGAGGGATGGGAGGGAGGGGTGAGTGTGTGTGGTGAGGTTGGGCAGAGAGTTGAATTCTAATCTACCTTAGTGAGAAGCCAAAAGCAGTAATATGAGGTTATTCTTTAGTGAACAGGCAGTGAAAACAAAAATACCCCACTAAGAGACTTGAAAGTGGTTGTCTCTGGAGAGGGGAAGTGGGAGAGAAGAGCAAGGCACTGCTGTTTCTGCAATGATATGCATGTGTAACTTTCCTAAACAAAAACAGGAGGGGAAAACCTGCACACGGGAGTTATTCAGAAACCTTAGAGGGGCAGGAAAGCCTTCCAACAGAACCTCATATGGTTTGACTTTTTTAGGCGAACAGGTTACAGTGCTGTCTGCCTGTCTGTACATTATTGCAATGTCCTAGTTTATGACCATTAGAATGCCAGCATTTCACAAGTACCTTCAGGACACAGACAACGCTTTACATTTTAACCAGGGGCGGATTTTCTAAGTGCTTACCGGCAGTGAAAATGCCTTTGGTGCTCTGTCTCAGACTCGAAGGTCTCACAATTGCCAAAAGCCCTGTGAGAAAAAAATCCAGCAAGGATGCCAAAAAAGCCAGATGTTAGTCATCTCAACACGTTTAAAAAACTGAAACTAAATATTCTTTCAGTTAGTCAATAAAACAGGCACATCTATCTGTTCCGGTGTCACAGAATGACAGTGAAAAGGGTATCAGGATTGAGGGCCAGGAGACTGGAGTTGCCAGCATGTCCCCACCCACCTATATGAGCACAGGCAAATGACTGACCCCTCTGGGCCTGGGCCTACTCACCTTAAACAGGGTGGGTTAGGTGACCTTCAAAGGTCATTTTATGACTTTAAACCTACTTAAGGCTGCTAGTTCTCAATTTCAAGATGGAAGAAGATTAAAAAAACCCATCCCAAAAAAACAAAAACAAAAAAAACCACAAATGTTTCTGCCCAGGAATAAAACTTCCATTCTGAAAACACACACAGGACTCCTCAGTGAGGATCAATAGTATAGTCCCCTTGCGCTATGAAAGGCAGCAGGGATCACACCGTGACCAGATTCATGTTAAAATAAAAAACAGCAAAGGACATGCCTCTATATTTATCTTCAGAACAGATACCTGATGACCTAAACAGATGCTCTGACAACCTGGGGCAAGTCCCTGAGAGCGTGTGCGTGGAGCCCGCCTATTGCAGCTAATGTTCAATACTGTCACTGTGATTATTTAGCACTGTGGCTTGCACCTTAGAGGGTTAAGTACTTAGTCAATGAAATAGGAGAATGCACTCATCTGAGGGAGTCATTTTCTTTCTTTTTTTAAAATATATTTTTATTGATTTCAGAGAGGAAGGGAGGGAGAGAAAGAAACAGAAACATCAATAATGAGAGAAAATCATTAATCTGCTGCCTCCTGCACACCCCACACTGGGGATGGAGCCCACAACCTGGCCACATGCCCTGATCAGGAATTGAACCATGACCTCCTGGTTCATAGGTTGACACTCAATCACTGAGCCACACTGGCTGGGCAGGGAGGGAGTCATTTTCAATTTCAAAATTATTTCTTTACTGACTGACCTCATAAAATACCTTTAACACCTCAAAGGGAAGCAGGTCTCTGAAGACAAGGTTCAGACTTTTTGGTAAATATCAGGGAAGCCCTGGGGATAATGCCCAGAACACAGGCTATGTCAGAGGTACCTGCTGAACACACTATGAGGCACACTGAATGGGAACCAGTTGATGAAAGCTGTGTTTTTAAAGCCATCTGATAAAAGCTGTGTTCTTGGTGTTATTAAAGCAATAAAAATGTCACCAGTCTCCTGCCTTCTCAGACCACCAGGAAGAACACAGACTTGTCTTTAAAATAACTGCTAAAAGTTATGCTCTTGGGACCAAAAGAAACATTGTTTTCCCCCTTAGACAGTGATTTAGGACCCAGGAATTGGAACATAGAAATACTTTTATATCTACTTCAAACAAATGAAAATTTAAATTTGGAAACCGACAGGCTGTTAGTGCTTTCTTCTTCCTAGAAGCAATCTATCTCTTGATCTCACCAGTAAGAAAGAATAAAGAATACATCGCACAGTCACAAAGCTTGTTTCTACCCATGGCCAGCACTTCCTCAAAAGTCAAATTCATAAACATACCTAGATGCACGATGTTTCCACAGTCAGGGTCATTAGCAAGTTGAAAAAGAGTTTCTTCCACATCTCTGTTTTTTCCAGGAGGATCCATAATATTATGTATTTCTTGCTGTAAGGTTTTGGGCAATGCCAACAGCTGAGTGAACTGTCCTTCTGGGCTTTTATCTATCTAAGGAATAAAAAAAAAAGATGATGTCAATAGAAAGTTCTTTGAATTCTATAAATATTCAAAGGTCCATGGTTTCTCTTTATTTTTTTAATCCTCACCTGAGGATATGTTTAGAGGGAGGAAGGGAGAGACAGAAACATGGATATGAGAGAGAACATTGATCGGCTGCCTATCATACATGCCCCAACCAGGGATCGAACCCGCAACATAGGTGTATGTGCTCTGACCAGGAATCAAACCCACAACCTTTTGGTGCCTGGGACAACACTCTAGCTGACTGAGACACCGGCCAGGGTCCCATGACTTCTCTTTAAAGTCACACAAACATATATGAACCCATATGCTGGATGAGACAGCATGCTAAGGAGACCATCTCCTTGCCAAAACTAAATGCCTAAGTGTTCAGGATTCTAAGTTCCTTCATAAAAGCCAATCCTTTACCTATAATGTTCCATTTTTACAGAGATAAGAAGAAATGCCTCTTTCAAAGACTGATTTCTGATTCTCAGTTTAAAGTTTCTATTGGTCTTAAATCCAATACTTAAAGGAAGTAAGGCTGCAGCTAACAGTCATTAGACCCCAGCAAACCAGGCACTCAAATTACTTCTCCCATTTATTTTTTAATTAATATTTTTATTGGTTTTAGAGAGGAAGGGATATATATATATATATATATATATAATGAGAGGGAATCAATGATTGGCTGCCTCCTGCATTGCCACCCCCTGGGGATCGAGCTCGAAACCCAGGCATATACCCTTGACTGGAATCAAACCTGGGACCCTTCAGTCCACAGGCCAACGCCCTATCCACTAAGCCAAACCAGCTAAGGGCCACTTATTCCAATTTAAACACAAGGACACAAGAATAACATAGCTAGGATCATAGAGCCAATAAGAGAGAGTAGGATTTAAATCTATGTCTCCTGCCTTTAGAGTCTCTTACATAACATGATGTATTTCATAAACTGTAGGAATAAAGTAATGATAAAAACTAATGATGCTCAGTTTTAATACCCTGACACACAGTAGGTACTAACAAAAAAAATTGGTTGAATAAAAGAATGAACAACTGCATCAATAAATCTTAGTTGTCATTATTTCTTAAATAGGAGTAAGTTACAACAGTGATTTCTGTTCTCAGCATCTTCTAAAATACATCAAATTGAAAGATAAATACAGAAATAAAACATATAACTATACATCAGACTTAACTTAGAAATCTTTGAATCAAAAGTTAGCCCGGCGTGGCTCAGTGGTTGAGTATTGATCTATGAACCAGGAGGTCACGGCTCCTTCCTGGTCAGGGCACATGCCTGGGTTGTGGGCTCAGTCACCAGTGTGGGGTGTGCATGAGGCAGCAGATCAATGATTCTCTCTGATCGTTGAAGTTTCTATCTCTCTCTCTCCCTTTCTCTCTGAAATCAATAAAAACAAACAAACAAAAAAGCCACAGAGCTGAGGCCGCACCTAGCTTCCCTAATATGCTTTACTCCATGAAACTAATTTTTTACAAAATTGTGTAAACAATGCCTGCCAAGCTGAGAACCAGTAACACTGCCCTCAAGAACACATCACATTATTTTCTAAGTAAGAATTTTTCTTGTATTCTTTTAAACAAATGTTTAGGTTTTAACTTTAAGACAACAGTAAAAAACCAATTAGACAAATGAATGTACTACATTTTAGATTCAGGTTTTCCAGATACAACCAACTTTCTTAATTAGAATTCACTCATTTTACCACATTTTTATTCAATAAATATTTATTGAGCACATGCCAATGTCTTGATTTTCTAGTTTTATCTATAAAATCTATGCAAAGAAAAAAAATGCTATTATTTAGTGGCTCCAATACAGGTATAGTTTTTTTTTTAACCTAAATATTTCACATTTATCAATAAGATGGTTCTAAATTCACAGAATTCAGCCTCTACTTAGCTTTGGCTAGAGAATGACCAAACAAAAGGATATTTCTGAAAAATATGCTAGAAATGACATTTATGGACTCATATTTTATGATTCTCTCTGATCGCTGATGTTTCTATCTCTCTCTCTCCCTTCCTCTCTGAAATCAATAAAAACAAACAAACAAAAAAGCCACAGAGCTGAGGCCGCACCTAGCTTCCCTAATGCCTAGTTTAATATACTTTACTTCATGAAACTAATTTTTTACAAAATCGTGTAAACAATGCCCGCCAAGCTGAGAACCAGTAACACTGCCCTCAAGAACACATCACATTATTTTCTAAGTAAGAATTTTTCTTGTATTCTTTTAAACAAATGTTTAGGTTTTAACTTTAAGACAACAGTAAAAAACCAATTAGACAAATGAATGTACTACATTTTAGATTCAGTTTTCCAGATACAACCAAGTTTCTTAATTAGAATTTACTCATTTTACCACATTTTTATTCAATAAATATTTATTGAGTACATGCCAATGTCTTGATTTTCTAGTTTTAAAATCTATGCAAAGAAAAAAATGCTATTATTTAGTGGCTCCAATACAGGTATAGTTTTTTTTTAACCTAAATATTTCATATTTATCAATAAGATGGTTCTAAATTCACAGAATTCAGCCTCTACTTAGCTTTGGCTAGAGAATGACCAAACAAAAGGATATTTCTGAAAAATATGCTAGAAATGACATTTATGGACTCATATTTTGGAGCCAAGTATTGAGATTAGTGAAAAGGACAATATATTTCTATAAGGTTTTAGCTATGAAACTTTCAAGCATTTCAGAGTTGCAAAAATGGTTTGAGTTCTATGAGGAATTAGAAAATAGCATTTGTACCCTGGATGATGTTGCTCAGTGGTTAGAGCACCGGCCCTCGTACTTAAGGGTCATGGGTTTGATTCCCATCAAGGGCACGTACCTAGGTTGCAGGTTCCATCCCTGCCTAAGTTGGGGTGCATGTAGGATGTATCTCTCTCAATCGAAGCTTCTCTCTCTCTCCCCCCAGCCCCCGAGGAATTAGAAAATAGCATTTGTACCCTGGATGATGTGCTCAGTGGTTAGAGCACTGGCCCTCGTACTGAAGGGTCATGGGTTTGATTCCCATCAAGGGTACGTACCTAGGTTTCAGGTTCCATCCCTGCCTAAGCTGGGGTGCATGCAGGATGTATCTCTCTCAATCGAAGCTTCTCTCTCCCCCCAGCCCCTTTCAACTCTCTTTAAAAATCAATGGAAAAAATATCCTTGGTTGAGGATTAACAAACAAACAAACAAATAAAATAGCATTTGCCACTGCTTTTTCTCTCAGAAAAGAATGCACTGGAATTTTTGCTTGGAAACATGTGTTTAAAGACAAAATATTAGATGACATGTCCAAATAAATTGTTAAATTCTGATTATCCTTATTCTTTAATTCTTCCTTTCTCTTTCATGTTTTACTAACATGAAAGAGAAAGCATTCAGTTAAAGGATGAGAGTCAAATTGCATTTTAAAAGCAGATATGGGAAAAGTTAAAATATTAGATGACATGTCCAAATAAATTGTTAAATTCTGATTATCCTTATTCTTTAATTCTTCCTGTTTTACTAATATGAAAGAGAAAGCATTCAGTTAAAGGATGAGCGTCAAATTGCATTTTAAAAGCAGATATGGGAAAAGTCCACATATTGTATTTATATGAAGTATCTAGAACAGGCAAATTCACAGAGGCAGAAAGTAGATCAGTGTTGCCTGGGGGGAGGAGAAGCTAGGCACTGCTAATGAGTATAAAATGTCTTTTTCGAGTGATGGGAATGTTCTAAAATTAGATTGTGATGATAGCTACACAATTCTGTGAATATACTAAAAGCACTGAATTTTATGGTATGTGTATTATATCTCAATAAAGCAGATATTTTTTAAAAGAGATATGGTTGTATCATGGTGGATGCTGTGTTGCATCACCCAGATCCTGGCTTCTGGGCCACAGTACTCATTCCACTGGCAGCTGGCACTTTCTCAGAGCCCCTCCTAGTTCTGTCCTGTGAGCTGCCTGTATCCAATGACTGGAAAATGCAGGAGTACAAAGGCTCATTAGACTTTTTAATGCAACACTAGAAACTAGAAGAGATGAAGCTATGATTTAAAAATTCTGAGGGAAAATTATTTCCAACCTAAATTTTGATATTTAGTCCAAAATGTCAATCACTGCAAGGGTAAAATTTTCAGATGAACATGGCCAAAAAATTTACTTCCCTTCAACCTATGTTAGGAAGGTATACTTCGTCAAAATTAAAGTGTAACTATGAAAGAAGAAGATAAAAGATCCCCCAAATAAAAAAACTAGCAAAGGAGAGAGGCAAAAAATTTCTCAGGGTGATAATAAAAAGAAGTCCAGGAGAACAGTTAGTGCACAGTAAAGCCTCAGAAAGGAAGGGGAGGGGAGGGGGGTGGGTGGGATACAGAACTTCATGGAAATGTCCCCAAGAAAAACAAGAAACAGAGAAAATTCCTGATGAGTTTATCTATTACGGGAGAAGTTTTACAGAATTGTATGAGTATGAGGATGAACTAGTGATAGGTATAAAGAAAACACAGCAAGTGAAAAAAAATGAGACAATTATTGCCTGGCCAATATGGCTTAGTGCTTGAGCCTTGACCCATGAACCAGGATGTCACGGTAAGATTCCTGACCAGGGCATACTGCCGGGCTGGGGGCTCAATCCCCAGTAGGGGTCATGCAAGAGGCAGCTGATCAATGATTCTCTCTCATCATTGATGTTTCTCTCTCTCTCCCTCTCCCTTCTTCTCTCTGAAATAAATAAAAACATATAAAAATATTTAAAGAAAATGAGACAATTATTAATTCCAAGAAAAATGAAGTTGTACATGAAAGGAAACTTCATAGTAGTATATCTCAGCAGTAAGTTGTCACAATAAAGTAAATACTGAATATTAACCTAACCAAAAATCATAAAATAGCTCTATGTGGAGCACAAAGGAGAAACGTGGGAAAGTGTGTGCATGTGTGTGTGTTGATGAGGGTGGCAACAGCAAAACACCTTATCTTTCACAGATGATGACAAAAATAAAGTATAAAATTTTTTAAATCAAGAAAAGACGGTCAAAGCATTATTTAGAAATACAGAGGTAAACATCAGAAGAATCAGCTAATGAGATGAAAGCACCTGCCTCTAGAGTGGCAATGAGATGTAGGAAGATGTATAGCAGAGAACTCCACCTTTTCATTATTAATATTACGGTACTATGTATATGCCTCAGTTTGAGAAAAGTTAAAGTTAAAAACAAAAAAAAACACACAACCTCAATCTGAAGCAAACATGGCAAATTCTGCTCAGTGGAGTGGTGGGTATTCTGGGCATTTCATGAAACTCTCTATTGTTTCCTTGTGTTTAAAATAATCCTTTTTTTAAAAATCAAATTCCCCTTCTGTTATAAAAAATTCCACTAATTTTTTATCCAACACTAGAGGCCTGGTGCACGAAATTCATGCATGGGTAGGGTCCCTAGGCCTGACCAGCGATCAGGGCAGATCAGGGCCTTCGAGCTGGCAGCCAGGGCCTCCCTTCTTGGGCTGTCAGCTGGGGCCTTCCTTCATCCTGGGCCCCTTGGTGGTCAGTGCACATCATAGCAAGCAATTGAACTCCTGGTCTCCCAGTTGAACTCCCGAGGGGACAACTTGCATATGAGGCTTTTATATATATAGATGAGCTGCCCCTATTATTTGGAAGACGAGCATAAAAAAGTAAAATAAAGTGTTCTTTACGCTAAATTTTTTTAAAAACTGAGGTTTCTATAATTTAAAAAATCTTAAATCCAAATTATGTTTCTCAAAGAAAAAGTTTTTTAATATTTATTTTCAAATACTTAATATTATTTAAAAAATAACTTGAAATAAGTTTCATTTAATACATCAACAGGAAAAGTTTTTTAATATTTATTTTCAAATACTTAATATTTTAAAAATAACTTGAAATAAGTTTCATTTAATATATCAACAGAAGAGTTCCAAGACATAATTAATATAACAAATGGGGGATAAAAAGAAGCTTCAGAATAATATGCATGAGTCCATTTATGTAAAACAAAACAAAACACACAAAAAAGACCAAATCCCATCATGTATGTGTATAGGTATAAACAGGTACAAAAATGCATGCAAAAAAATCTGGAAGAATAAATACCAAACTGTCAGGAAGGTACCTCTGTGGAGGCAAATGGGATTGGGGACAGAAAGAAGGTAATCTGAGAGTTTATTCTTACTTGTTTTTTACTGATAATTAATATGCATAGTAAGAATTTCAAATGGCAAGAGAGATACATATGGTGAAGAGAAGCCACTCTCCCACATTAACCCTGGCTCCCTTCTCCAAAGGTGGCCTCTTATTGTCAGTCTCTTTTATTACCTTTTTCAGCATTATTCCAAATATACAGAAGAACATGTTTATACATAAAACTTACATTTAAAAATACGTTTTTACACTAGTTATACTGTTCTAACCCTTACTTTCTCCCTTAAATAGATCTTTGCCTTAGGAATGGTAGAAGTTATTTTCCACAGTTACCTCCAGTCTGCCTTGCTGGATTTTATACACCACTTGTGGATTATCCTGTAGTATGTGGCCATACAGCTCACGAAAGTGGGCTATGTTGGGCTTTACAATATCCATCACTTTTGCCTTATTCTCTCCAACCACCATCCGAAGGTCGCCTGGTTAAAACAAATGAAAAAACAAATGTCCCACTGATGATCCACATCCTGACCTATGAGCTACAGCCCCACTTTGATCTTGCACTAGTTCAAGATGGCAGCATCCCTCATTCACATTTCCTTTTCCTCCTTAAAACCATGAACACATTGCCCAAGGAATGCAGGCACTTGTTTGGGGAAAAAGAAAGCCTTTCAAATCATAAAGTCCTTTATGATAGTTAAAATATAGTTACGTAAGTGCAAAAGGTAATCATCATGGAGAAGCTAATTTGTTTTTGTTTTTCCAATGCAGAAGCTTCTGTACTTACAAACTTCCACCTTGTGAACAAAACTCTGCCTGTGACTAAGCACGGCTGAGGTTGTGTGTAGTATCACCTCAGATGTCTTTGATTCTGCCCACTCAGTTTGGGCCTATTTGTTGTGCTTTCATGAGGGCTTTTAAGGTGCTTTATGAATATACACACCTTATTATATTTGTTAAGGGCAAGAGCAGTGAGTGTTAAAAGTCCTACTACCTTGTTTACATTTAAGATGAACCTGAAAGCAAATATAATTTTTAAAAAATTATTTTAAAAATTATTATTTTATTAATTCTCACCTGAGAATATTTTTTCCATTGATTTCTAGAAAGAGTGGAAGGGAGGGGGCAGAGAGAGAGAGAGAGAAACATCAATCGGTCGCCTCCCCTATGTGCCCTGAGAGTGGACTGAACCTGCAACCTACGTATGTGCCCTGACCAGAAATCGAACCTGCAACCTTTTGGGGTACAGACGTCACTCCAACCAACTAAGCCATCTGACCAGGGCTAATTTTTAAATTTTAAGTAGACAGAAATGGGAAAAGGTACATTTGCCAGTGGAATGGATTAAGCTGCAAAATAAATAATTCTGAAGGACAAAGAGCAAATTTTAAAACAAATTTAAAGTGGCCTGTCCTGCCTAAGCCATTGACAATTATTATCAGCAACATATGGGGGGAGAGGGGAGGTGATAAAACGGGAAAAGTTGAGTGAATGCCTATTGGGCTAATGTTAACTCAAGGCTGGGCACATGTGAGGATCTCCCAGATGAAGCTTGGTGAAAGCAACGCGGCTGAAACCTTTGTTGGACAGACAGAATGTTGTCTAGGGGAGTAATGAGGCAGCAAGTGCAGGCAGATACTCCGGCTGCTGAAGAATCCCTTGGGAAGAGGTGACAATTTATCATCTAAACTAGGTCACTTTTGAAGGTGAAGGGGGCACTATGAATAATTCCACTGGGACAAGCACAAGCTGGGCAAACCAGGACAAATGGTAACTCTTGTTGATTGCTTTTTGGGAGTGGGGAGCAGGGAGGGGTAATCAAAATCATTATCTGCCAGGACACTTTTTTCTTATTCTTCAGTATATACTTCAATAAGGAATAACACATGCCTGGTTTTTAAGATCAACCTACGCTACAATTTGGTGGAAAGCAGCTGGGGACTGATCGCTCAGGAAAACATACAAGTAGCCTCTGGAACCCCACCTTTGTGACTTGAGGTCTGACTCCTTGTTCGCCGGGCCTGGGTGGTCGGGGTGGGTGCAGGAGGCAATAGATCAATGTGTCTATTTCATATTGATGTTTCTCTTTCTCTCTCCCCTTCCTCTCCTCCCTTCCACTCTCTCTAAAAAATCAATGGAAAACATATCCTTGGGTAATAATCACACAGAGCAAGATGGAAAATAATCATATAAAAAAAACAAGATACAAAAGTACAAGGAAACAACTAAAAAACAAGACAAAGGGACTATATAAAAATGGTTATTTTTGCTCTAATAAGATACACATTTATTGTGGGCTTTTGTAGGTGTGTGTGCTTTACATATGCTATTTAGTTTAATTATCTCCAATTTTACAGATGAGGAGATTGAGGTGCAAGATCCAGCCACCTTTCAGTTTTAGGATAGTGACACTTGAGATGACTGGTTTTACTCTACTTTGTAATTTTTCTCCACTGCCCTAACTTCTGTAATGTTGGCATATACTTCTATTCACAGGATGCATAGAGGTGATGACTTGGCAAATGTAAGTGAGAGGACGCTGGATTTAAATTGTCTGTTTAGAGCAGCGGTTCTCAACCTGTGGGCCGCAACCCCTTTGGGGGTCAAATGACTCTTTCATAGGGGTCGCCTAAGACCATCGGAAAATACATATATAATTACATATTGTTTTTGTGATTAATCACTATGCTTTAATTATGTTCAATTTGTAACAATGAAAATACATCCTGCATATCAGATATTTACATTACGATTCCTAACAGTAGCAAAATTACAGTTTCAAAGTAGCAACGAAAATAATTTTATGGTTGGGGGTCACCACAACATGAGGAACTGTATTAAAGGGTCGCAACATTAGGAAGGTTGAGAACCACTGATTTAGAGTCTCAACTTTTATTTAGAGTCTATAAATGGATTATATTGATCTGCCTGGGAATAAAATGTCATCAAACTCTGAATCTAACATGATTGGTTCTGAAGTGAAAGATCACTGTTGAGTTCTAAACATTTCGGTCATTTTTCTTTCTGTACCCTCAACCAACAAAAAATTCTTATACGTATGATAGCAACTTTCTGAGAGAGGGACTGCATTTTACCAAAATGTAAAAGCAAACTAATCCAAATCCTCCCAAAAGAACAATTGCATGCCATGATTAAAGGACCTGGAAGATACTACGGACCCTCTGAGAATAAGGACTGGAGCTTACTCATCTCTGTCTCCCCAGCTCCTTGAGTACTGCCTGGCACATTAAAAGCACATCCATAGAGGTATACAAGGGAGAGCTGCGCCCCTCACCGATCAGCTTCTGAAGCTTGCAGGATGAATGTGGGAGTAGCACACAGCAAAGTAAACCCCAACACTCGAGTGATGAATAGCCGGGGCATCTGGCTGGCCTACATCATCTTGATAGGACTCCTGCATGTGGTGCTACTCAGCATCCCCTTCTTCAGCATTCCTGTTGTCTGGACCCTGACCAACGTCATCCATAACTTGGCCATGTATGTCTTCCTACATACAGTGAAAGGGACACCCTTTGAGACCCCTGACCAAGGAAAGGCTCGGCTACTGACACACTGGGAACAGATGGACTACGGGCTCCAATTTACCTCTTCCCGCAAATTCCTCAGCATCTCTCCTATTGTACTCTACCTCCTAGCCAGCTTCTACACCAAGTATGACGATGCTCACTTCCTCATCAACACAACCTCATTGCTCAGCGTACTGCTGCCTAAATTGCCCCAATTCCATGGGGTTCGTCTCTTTGGCATCAATAAATACTGAGGGATGGGACTGGGGACAACACTGGAACAAAAGGCTGTAACATCTTTCCCTTCTCCATACTGTCTTCCTTTTCTTGGAAGCCTGAGAATTATACAACTGTTCCAAAACTCCCAGGATGAGAACTGATTGGAAAATGGGGCTCCCTGGGAGTAGCCCTGCTAGGAGCAGGCTTCTTTGAATCGGGAAAGGCGGATGAGGTAAGGGACAAATCACTCTCCTCCACAGGAGGCCATGTTTGGGCAGCTTGTTTGGTTTTCCCATGTCTTCCACCCCCACTACCTCCAGCTCTGTTTTGCTATGTATTTCCCTCATAATAAAGGTCATTTTTTTTTTAGGAAAAAAAAAAAAGCACATCAATAAATATCTACTGAACAGAACTTCTCCTACTGCTGTGCAGCAGAACTAGCTCAGCCAGAGGGAACAGCAAGCAAATGGACTTATTACTCATTTCTTCAGAACAAAATAAATAAAACCATGGGCACAGCATGAACCCACATCTGATCATAAGAATCAATTTTTCTAAGCGCCAGAAATGTTTGCAACAAAACAGAGAAATTGAGAAAAACTGCTTTTATTTTATACCTCTGTTGATGGGTTTAACTCTTGGCTGCTCAAGCCAATCTAATAAAATGGGTAACCAAAAGGATAATTTCTCTTTGACTCTGAAATGAGGCTTGCAAACCATCTGTAGTTGGCTTGCCATCAGTGGTTCAGGGTCCTTATTATGAATGTAGGGATGGAAAGGACTGTGAAATATAGTGGAAAGGCCCTGGCTTTCATGCCCGGCAATGTCCCATGGTGACTGGAGATTAACTTTTCTGAGTTAGTTTCCTTCTCTGTAAAATGGCAGTAACAATCATACTGACCTCACAAGGTTGCTTTTAGATTTAAATGAGTTAATGCATTTGAGAATGCTTTGTAAATAATAAAGCAGATATTGTTATTATACACACACACACACACACACACATATGTTTATATATGATGGGAAAAGGACAGGGGGTAGAGGAGGCTGAATCTTTGAAGATAATGACTGGCTTTTCCCCCTCTTAAACTAACTGCTATACTGCTATTTCAGTTCAATAAATATTTGGTGGCTACTAAGTATGAGGAACTGTGCTATACATTTGGAGATGTAAAGTATACGCCCTACCTAAGGCATCAAGTGACATGAAAACAGATCTTCAGTGCATGTTACAGAAGTGGGTATTTCTTAGGTGCAGTTTAAGAATAGCAGCTCAAACTGGAGGTTGATATGGCAAAATATGATTCATTTTTAACAGCTTTTTTTTGAGATATAATTTATACACTATATAATTCACCCATGTAAAGTATACAATTCAATGTTTTTTAGTATACTGATAGAATTATGCAACCATCTAATTTTAGGAAATTTTGGCTTCCCTAAAAGAAATTGTATCCATTGGCAGTCACTCTCCATCTCCTTCTACCCTTCCGTCCCCAGCCCCACGCAAAAGTAATCCACTTTCTCTCTCTATAGATTTGATTCTGGACATTTTATATAAATGAAACTGCACAATATATGGTCTCTTATGACTCAGCATATGTTTTCAAAGTTCATCATGTTGTAGCATGCATTGGTACTTATTCCTGTATATGGCTAAATAATATTCCATCGGATAGATTATCACATTTTATTTATGCATTTCTCAATTGATGGACATTTGGATTGTTTCC